TGTTCTCGGGCCATTAGTATTAATTCAAAACGAATAATATGAATTAAAATTTCTCGTAAGCAGCGCCCGAAGCAGATTTTTGCTGTTTTCTTAATATTGTTCCTTTCTTCGCATTATATAAAATTTATAAAAATTCTTTTTACACAGTGATTGATTCGAGTTTGGTTAGTTTTCAGGGCTGCCATTCTTTTCCCTGAAGGATAATTTTAGCCTTCTGCAAGAATAATTACTTGAGGAAAAATAACTGAATATGAAACGAGGGAAAAAGAAAGATAAACATCGATGCTATTTTACCCATTTTTTTTAGGAATTTTAATGACTAGAATATTAGTTAAATAAGAGATCAATAATTAGCTAAGGAAATTTAAAGATTTCAGAAGCTAGCGTTTGTAGTTTGAATTACAGAAATGATAAGTGAAAGATACTTTAGAGACCATTCTATTTTATATTTGGCTGTCGAGTGTCAGTAATAAAATGTATTTAAAAGATTGGAAATAATCACTGAACATCTATATAAATTTTGGAAACCTTAGACTGGTATGACATGACTATTCATTTAGGGTTAAAACATTAATCGCCATCAGTGAATGTGGTTTAAAATGTTGAAATTATTTAATTCGTCTAAAAAAATCTACAAAAAAAATTCTTTACGCAAAATAAAAAAGAATCTTAGCCTAAACTGTTCAGGAATAAGTTTGAAATGTGATCGTACTGATAGGCAAAGATCATTGACAAAGGATCTCTTCCATAGCAGAAGGATAAGAAAAATACGGAGAGACCAATCAGCTTTGATACCCATAAAAAATTAAACATCTGTCCAAATTATAGGAATTAATCCTTTAAAATAAAATTTCTTTTGTATCGTTTTTATCAAAATTCGGAAGATAACAGTTTTTTAATTTGGGAGAAAACTTGTTATTTTTTAAAATAGTTGATATGGAAATTTTATTGCCTCATTTCATGTAAATAAAGTTTTTAAAGAATGCTTTTCACATCAAGGCATTTCAACATCAAACTAAGAAGATCCATTTGGACATATTATCAGTGTCTGTTCAATTATGACTGATACTAATTTCGATGTTAATTTGATGAAAGCTATAATCTGAGTAAGGTTTTTGTTAGCATCATCCAGTTAATTTATTGTACCCAGAATTAGCAGTAAGAGTGGTAAATGACAAAGGGTGTTTTCAGTCTGAAGATCAAGATATCACTTTATCATTTCACAGCCTAGTGATAGTACTAAATCTCTTTTGAAAGGACTTCCCTTCATTTGTGCCCGTTTCGACAAAGTACAAGGAAATTCATAACAGCTGGTCCAACTACTGCTGAATCCTTGCCACCGAAGCCAGCTGTTGCTTTTTCCATCTTCATATGCAAATTTCCGAGTAGTTCAGCGCCCTTTGCCGTTTTCAGCACACACGGTACACAATCACCGACATGCAAGGGTTTAAAGGCACCAGCGCCACCCTTGACTTCTTTGTATGACATCCATTTGTATTCGAAACCAAGCTGTAATTAAGTTACTCCGGGTATATATCATCAACCGCCTAATCCATAACTTTTGAAACTAATTTTATTTTTCTGTACAATCGTGCCGAAAATTAAAATGAAATTAGGCATGTTCCCGGTAAGATTCAACATTGATTATCTAATTTGAGTTCTTTTTTGGATATTCACAGCTCTAACATTTTCGGGCTGCGGGATAACGATCATTTGCATAGACCCGAGTTCTGCGCCTGCATTTTCTTGGCCATTCCAACCAAAACTCGCCAATGTTTTCCCGACAGGATCCGGATAAGCTCGTCCGAACACCGGTTCACCATGCTTGTACCACAGCGCTACATAGCTATATGTCTCTGAGCCATCATCGTTTTTCAATTTACGACCGCCACCCTGAACGATAATAATTGAATTTTTGTTATAAAAATTAACAGAAGACTGGGAAAAAGAACGAGCAATAAGGAGTTGCTTCATTTAACTTACAGGAATCGGATTCTTCGCTGTCGGAAATGGATCACGGTACTTGAGATCAATCCAAGTGTCTTCATAAATCTTAATACCAGTTGGCGGAGCTTTAATATTTCGAAATAGGACCAACAAATTCTGCGAAATAGGACCAACAAGCATATACTATCAGTAAAGGTCATCGGAAAAACCAGGATCTGATGAAATAATTTACGACAACGCAAATTGGCTGTCTTTTTTGTCCCTTATAATAAAAGGTCATTGGGACTGGATACACCTACTATAATTTGCACAATATGATGATATGAATTTTTCATATGTTTATGATGTTACCTGGATTTCGCCGCCTGCAAGTGTTTCATTCTTACCCTTGTAACCAACATTTGCAACATCTTTGCCCATGTCGATATACCCAAGAAAAGTATTCCCGTCCTTCGTAGGCATCAAAACTGGAGTTGACTGACCGCATCGTACTAATTGCAGCAACTGATCGTTCTCACGATCTTTGTATGGGCGCCATTCATACCAAAAACCACTTTTTTTGAATTGTTCCACAGGATCTTGTTCACTACATGTCAGGATTTGAATTTGCCCACCCAAATCACGAGCACCCGTTAATTCCACCTGCCAAATTCAATTTCAATTTGGACATTCTCTTGCGGAAAAAAACTTAATACCCCTGCAAGTTTCTTCATATGGCTTTTGAAAATTAATCAGTTCCTTTATAATTAGTCAGTTCTGCGAAAAATTCGAAGAAGTCCAAGCTAAATCCTATTGAATATCATTTCAATTCTTCTGCTTCCTAGAGATTAATCATAAAATACGCAAACCTTACTATACGGGAATGAACATTCCACATTTCCATTATTGTTCCAAGCTCGTCCATGAATCGGTTTTCCAAATTTGTACCACAATGCAACATACATATTCTGTTGACCTTTGACTCTAACAGGATTATCTGGAAATGGTGAACCAATTGTATTATACGCCCAAGTATCCTCAAATTCCTTTGTCATCTCTTCAGGAAAACGATCGAACACAGTTTAAACCGTAGACGAGTAATCTGATGCAAACAATGAATATCAATGCAGCACTTTTTGCTTTTATAGATGAATTAACTTGCATTCCTTCCATTAGCATTTTTTATAAAGAAGATAAGAAAATGGATATCAAACATGGCTTATGGATTACAGTGTCATCCTTACAATATTGCTGAAATGCTGAAAATCAAGTAGTGCCGCCATGTGATTTCTTTAATCTCTCTGTCCCTCATTTTCTTTTTTTACCATTCTTTCCAATCCTTCTAAAAAGATGATTGATTTCCAAAAATTACAGTTTCACAATTTCTTAATTAAGTTTTCAGACAATCACTGTATTCTGACGGGAAACGTAAGAGAAATAGAAGTTTGTCCAACAACACAGAATGATTTATTTAATAATAATATAATTCTTATAATAAATTACTTTTTCTTATTGCAAATATTTTCATAATAGCTTTCAAGAAGGTACGTAGAAATATTCAGTAGCGAAGATATGTCAACGAGAATAAAATTAGAGACAAACTCGTTCCTTTTCACTTTTCACTTATATAATTATGTGTAACCGTACATTAGTTTCAGTTTCGAAATAAAATTATAGTTTTTTAATTCTTTTGAAATTGTGTAATTCAAATTCTCATTCCATCTAGAAAATAAAATTTCAATTTAAAATGCTTAGTGAAAAAGAAGTCCAAAAAATAGCACGAAGAAATCTTCTATATCTCAGACCACGGGAACACTACTTGTCGGAACACTAATATCTAATTCAACTGAATACTACCCTGAAACTGTAAAGATAAGTAAGCTCTTGAGAAATATTTGAAGTTTCCTGAAAGCTTTCCGGTGCAAATGTTCCACAGCAAACATCAATATAGAATAATGGTTGCATTCAGGAATGGATATAGCCAGGCCTAGTATGGCTGGTACTTCATGGTGAACCTTTAATTCATTCCTTCAGGTCATTTATTGAAGAACCAAGAAAATATGTCAGATAAGAAGAATGGCCAGAGTGGAGGCGTTATAGCTTCAGAAGATATCTTGAGAGAAAGAGAGAGATGGAGAGATAGAAAGAGGACTAGAGCAGCGAGGGGAAAGGGAAACAATCCATGTAGCATTAGTTGGTAGTCTCAATAACATCGGAGGAGTTAGTTTTGGCAGGTGGGGAGAGGAGGGGAAGTTTGAGACTCGGCTTTGACTGGGTAGAAAGGTGGGTGTTTTATTAAGGGAAGAATGTCGATCTCTTTCATTATGTGTTCTTCGAACTTTCCTCACTGTGTGTACTTCTGCTTTCCAGTAAAATTATTTGATTTTTCTGAAAGATAATACTATTATGAAAGGAAGAGGAAGAGGAAGAAGGAAAGAAAGCTCACCTGAAAGCGAAGCCAGCACTAGCACCACAGGTTTACATCTATTTCTTATCCTTTTTAAGGTAAATTTTACACGCCTCTTATGTCTACTGGATGATAACTATATTAATCACATTATGAGGTTATATATTCATTATCAGCATAATCTCTAACTGACAACATCTTAAAATGAATATTAGCTATAAAAATAAGCCATTTCGGGTAGTTATATAATTTCACGCCACAGTGCAGTAGAAATCGTGCACATATTCTATTTTATTTGTTTATTATTCATTATTATGTCGGTCAGTGCATTTGCAACATTTACTAGTAGATTGAGCGGTGTGTTTTTCTAGTGGGAAAAGGATATGGACGCGGCAAAAAACTGGAATTTAGTAGTGGATCCGTTAAAGTTGGGCAGAAACATGGTGAACAGGTATTCTTTAATTTTACTTTTTAATGAGATTTAGATTGCAATGAAAGTTTTTTTTCTTTTTTCATTATATAAAGATACATGAAGGAGAACAGGAGAAATTGTTGCTGGTCGTCTTAATTTGTTTGGGTGTAAGGATAGTTGAAAGTTTAGCACGAACGAATCAAAGAGTTGGCGCTTAGACCAAACCATGGGAAATTGGGTAAGTCTATTCAACTAATGGCTAATTTCAAGTTGATGCAAGTACCTCCTTCTCTGCAAATTTATTGCTACCATGTGGATGTTTTGAAAATAACTAAGAATGGCAGACTTGTGGTGGAAAACAGGTATTTAAGTTAATTTTTTTTTAATTGATTTTCATTTAACGGAATTGTTTGTTATATAATTTTTTTTCCTGACTTACGTTGTAGCACTACATTAAAAAATTGTTTCAGTTAATGTTTCACATTCAGCAGCAAAATCACTTTTGTTAGAATGCACCACCTATATTTGCTCTTCGTTCGAAAATTTGAAAATTAATATTGGACATCTTTGCTGTCTTCATCGGATTAACTTTTATAAATCATTTGAAAATGAAAGTATTAGGCAGAACATAATGTAAATTGATGGAAGGTGCCTTTTTCACATCTTATCATTTCTTACAAAGTAGAAAATCTTGAATGTTATAGGGATATTTGTCGTGAAATATTTTGGAAAGTCATTTCAAATAATGAGGAAATATTTGGCACTGGGTACTCTCTGGTATATGATGATTGTCACACAGTCTACTCGCTTAAGAAGCTGAAGACTGAAAAGCCAACGTTGGAACTTCAATTATTCGTAGAACCAGTACCTTGTTTGAAAGTATGCACTTCGTATTAATTTTGGAAGTCTGAAAGTTGCAGAACTATTTGTATTCTCTAACTATAGACATGTAAAATGTAAGACGTTCGTACCTTGACTTTATTTTTTTGCTGCGGTGTGTGCATTTCTTTTTTTTTTATATCATCCGCTGATTTAAAATTTGATGCTTTCCAGCCACCTTCTGTATCATTTTTGCTCTCTATATCGGCCACTAATTATTTTACTGTCACTATCGATGAGCAGTTACCGAATTTCCGGGCAAGTATGCAGTTTTTAGATTGTTTGGTCAGTCAGCAAGTGCGCTGTCCTTGTATGTGAGTCTTCCCCTATTTGTTATATTTACTTATACACAGTAGATGTCTCTTTAAAATTTCAACTATTAAATTTCTACTTCATCTGTTGCACTTTTGGTGTGCAACTTGTCTTGCAATAGAAGCTACAACTTCTATATTGGTTGTGATTTGTTTTATATAAATTTAGGAGTATAGCTTCAAGTTTTTATCCATTTAATCAATGTATGTATATGAAGCCATGTGAAAGTATTCCATATCAAGTTCTAAATATGGGTCCTGGGATGGAAGCATGGACTGGATTATACGGTGCTGTAAAACGCTGTGAAAAAGGACTCATGTTAAATGTAGATGGTCAGTGAGTATTTGATCTTTTTTAGACAATTCAATGAACACAAGCATTATAGTGGTATTGAATTGTTTGTAATAATAAAGAGTGCTTAAGAATACTTTCGCGTCATTCCCAGTAAATTTGCAGATGCATTTATAATTATGTATTGATCATTTCAGTGTCCACAAAAGTATTTTATAAAATCGACATTTGGTTAATTGATTTCTATTTGGATGTCTTAAATGAATTTGTGGGACGAAGAAGACCATACGACATCGATACAATAAGTGAAACGTTTGCACTTTCTGCCAATCAAAGACAGCAGTTGAGAGATGCAATGAAAGGTAAATTTTGACTTTATTTGGATGGGTTTACTTTGCAAACATTTTTTTTTTTTGAGGGAAAATTTAGAGTCACGTATTCACTAGGTTTTCCTCGTTAGTTGCGGCTAACTTCAAGCCATCATTACCAGTCAATTTATAGCCGTTTTTTTCTATAACATAGGGTATAATAGGTGGAGGTTTAATTCGTGTTAAACAATTTTTTGGAAATTAGCTGTGATGTTATCTTGGTGTTGCACCTAGCTTCATGAAGAATGAATTAAAGATTCCCTACTTTGCTAAATGTTTGAATTACCAATTGTTTTATTGTAACTGATGTCTTTAGGCTTTATGAGAACAAAAAAATTTTTAGGTTTAACGCTGAAACTGACGTATGATAACAGACATATCAAGTTTATTGATGTTGGGTTACCTGCACGAACACAAAGGTTGATTTATCTCAGTTTTGTTATGCATTTTATTCCTCATCCATCCTTTCATATATGTTCGTAAAGAAATAATTCAGGATTTTGCATTTTTTTCTTTTTTTAGTTTTTAGTTTTTTTTTTTTTTTTTTTTTTGTGAAGAGGGAGGACTACTTCATTTCAGATTTCGAATGAAGCGGAGTGAAGATTTTGTAGAGGAATTGACTGTCGAAGAATATTTCAATCGCTATAAAAGTAGCTTATGTTTTTTAAAACTTCATATTTTGGTAAGATCTAGGTGGGATAACTTTATATCTAGATTAATTTTTGAGCTATATTTTTGAAGTTATTTTACATTACTCAGTCATAGTGGTGCTTTTCTTATTTCTTCATTAATTGTCTCAAATTCTGCAGTTTAGATATACGTTTGAAATTTCCCAACCTTCCGGTATTACACTGTGGCACACTTAAAAGGCAAGACTACTTTCCGATGGAGCTATTGCGATTATCTGACAAAGTGCAACGTGTGAAAAGACGTTTGACACCATTTCAAATCGCAAAACTGATCAGAGTAAGTATAGAGAAATGATCTGTATGTCCAGTATGGATACCGTTTTTTCTTTTTTCAAACATGATCCATCTGAGTAAACTTGATATTGGAAACACTTTGTGTTTGAAAGAAATGAACTATTTTAGAAAATATATTTAGCTAGATCTTTTAATATATAGTCTAGCGAAAGTACTGTAGTAGAGGTAGGCTAACTTAATTGAACAGTTAATGATAACAATGTCGCATTAAATTCAGAGATTATTATTAGCAAGAGAGGAGAATTCCGATAGAGTAATGTAGTTGGGTTCTTCAGTCTAAGAAGTATTTCTTCACTTCTTCACTATTATGAAAATTACTCATCATAAAAAGTAAACTTAAAATGTTTTGTGGACTGTTTTATTCATTAGTTATTTACTTAGTGAATAAAATTTCCTGATATATAAATAAAAAAGAAAATTCACTAAAATTCACAATGTATATTGTATATTTTTTTGTTCTTTGTTTAAGGGTACGGCATTGAGTCCTTTGGAGAGATTCAAAAAAATTGATTGGTTTCTAAAGGAAATGAGGATATCTACCGATGATGAGTTCATTCGGCAGTTCGGAGTCGTTTTCTCATCAGATAGTAGCGGAGTTCCTGAATCGGTGCGGATCCTTGGTCGAATTTTGCCTTCACCTGCAATCAAGTTTAAGGTATGTTAATTTGGGTATTTTTATCCTTAATTATTCTTGATGTTGAGGATACGTATAGCTAGCTGTTTACAGTTTTTCTTTATGCTTCCTTATGGATAATCGCTTGTGAGAGATTCTTTTTCTGTTCGAATTTGTAAGTTTGAACGAGCAGAAGAGGCATGTTAGAAACCAACTGAAATTTTTTCCGAAAAAATAGTGTTTTACCAAAGTTAATGAAAATGAGATGACCTATCATTTATATAAGTATTCTTTATTCTTATAAAGCTTTTGACTGAAAATTGCAGACAATTGAATTACCATCGATGAATGGTTCTTGGCATTTAAAAGGCGATTTTTTTCAAACTGCTAGCAATGTGCATTTCGCAGTTGTATTTGTTGATCAGGCAATTAATATGCGAAATTTTCGGTATTTATTTCACCTTTCAATCAAAACTAGATTGTTTATTCAATAAACAAATAATTCTGGATGTCCATGACAATTAAAAATTGCAGGGAACCATTCAATACTTTAATCGGTGCATGCAAACTCTTCGGTATGAAATTTGTGAGGGAAAATTTTGGAGCTGATACTGTTGAAGTATATAAATGGGATACGCGTAGGGAAGAAGCTGACATTTATGTACGTAGTTTCAAAAAAGTGTGTGATGAAATAAGGGAAGAAGCACTCAAGCCGCTGATGATCTTTATTACTCCGGAAAAGAATGATGACATATATGGTATGTTGATGATTTTGATTAAATAGCATAGTAATAACACATTTTGATATTGGTGTATTGGTGCAACATTTAACTTCTTTGCAGGGCGAATAAAAGTGACATGTGATAAGGAAGAAGGTGTAGCGTGTCAAGTAATTCTTGTCGAAACATTTCTCAAAATGCTTGGAAACCCAGAGCGTAATGCTGTGTCTCACAATATTTGTTTGAAAATAAACGTTAAATTGGATGGCATTAACAACGAAGTGGCGAGAAATGAGAACTAGTAATAGTATTCCTTACTTTGGCATTTAACTATGAAGGTTGAATACAGGTTAAATACTGGTGCGATTTATAGGGATATTTTAATTCATGTGAAAGTTATTCTGAAAAACAATTTAAGATGTTGTATTATCTCGAAGAGTTGAGAATTACAGGAGTTCACACCGTTTCATTTTTCATGTATGAAAAGTATTTTGAGAATCATTACATGTTTTTTTAGCTGGAAAAAATTTACTGATAAAGAATCTCCAACTCTGTTCATGGGTATCGACGTCACGCATCCGCCTTCAGGTGATACGTCTGCACCGTCAATTGCTTCTATTATTGGATCATTAAATATTAGTGCGACAAAGTATGTTTATTTAAATTATGATTGTTTGCTTTTAGGTAGTTAGGATAAAATTTTTTTAGTATATAGTAGTTTGTTTATTAATATATTTTTTAGGGAAGCCGGTTGCTTTGTACTCTTTTTTTCTTCATAATTATTTTTTAGATATGCAGCATCTTTGAAAATTCAACAACCAGGAGTGGAAGTAATGACGTATGCTGTGGATGCTTTCCGAACATGTATTATTAAGTTTGGGGAACAAGCAGGTTGCAAACCGCAGCATATAGTACTATTTCGGTAAGCTGTTCGAATATTTTGGTCTATTTTAGTATAAATTTTGGTTTTCTCATCTCAGAATAAAAGGGTTTAATAATGTAATACTTTTATAGTCATTAACTTTTCTTTTAGTTCCTTGTGTTTTATTTTTCCTTTTAACAATTAATGACTTATATGTAAATATATGAAATATTGCGATTTTTTTTTTTTTTTACATCGCTTAGAAATTTCTGTTGTTTTATTATTTTCGCACTTCAGTGATGGTGTTTCGGATTCTCAGTTCTTAGATGTCATGAACGATGAGTTATTATGTTTGAAAACAGCAATTTATCAACTCGATCGATGTTATTGTCCAACAGTTTCTTATGTTGTAGTACAAAAAAGGCATCATACTCGTTTTACTGAACCAACGTTGGGAAGGTGGGAAATATTTTATGATGCAGTGAAAGGTGCAAAGCGATTTTAGGATTTGTGCTATAAGTTTCCAGAGCAAATTTAGATGCTAAGGTTATAGCTGTGTGAATTAATAGTATGGGATGAAATCATCCATAATTATTTATTCCTTTGCTTAATTTTCTTCTTAAAGCTTTGAAGTCGTAGTTGGGTTGTCATATGTCCTTTTGCAAACGTAATGGAAACGGATGTCATAGTAGTGCTTTTATAAATTTAATGTTTTCCGAATCGAACAGTTTTGTCAGAAAATGATTTTGTTTAGCTAATTTTACGCCTTTTAAGTTCTTTTTATCCTTCAGAGACAAAGGAAATATACCACCAGGAACAGTCGTTGATAGCACGATAACGAATCCATTGCGGTTTGACTTCTACCTTTGCTCACATCGTGGTGCTATTGTATGTTTCTGATTTCTTCATTAACCGTTTATGTTCCTTTCTAACTTGCCATCAAAGAGCTGGCAGTATTGTTCAAGTAATTGCAACACTTTATTATCTGCTAATGCCATTTATAGCAAATTTATTGAATATTTTAAGGCAATGCTTAGATTTTTCGTTTTCTAAAAGTTATTGGTATTCCTCTAAGAGGCACTGTGCATTTTAGTTAATGAACTGTATAATATAAAAAGTATACTAATTCAATAATGCATTAATCATAGGTATTTCAGGGAACATCAAGGCCATCTCACTACACTGTTCTCTATGATTCATGGCTTTTATCTGCAGATGAGTGGCAAGTTCGTTCTTAATTTTTTGCTAATTACATTTGTAATTACATCTTATGCTACTACATTTACATCGTCTTCATGAGATTTCTAAAGTTTCAATTTAAAAAACGAAGATAAATCTGTATAGTCTGTACCTTCTTAATATGCTTATAAATAATTTGTGGATTTCATTAATGATTTATTGCATTCATCTGTCAGCATGATGATCAATGTTTTTTTTTTTTTTTTGCAGCAAATGATTTATGCTTTATGTCACATATATGCCCGATGCAACAAATCAGTTTCAATACCAGCCCCTGTTTATTATGCCCACTTAGCTTGCGATCGGGCCAGGCGTCTTTTGAAATATACGTAAGTTTCCCGTTTCAAAAGAGCAAATCTTTTTTTTTTTTTTTTAATGAACAAGAGTTCGTTCAAGCTGTTGCAGTGTTTCAAGAAACCTATATACCTTTTTTACGTAGTGTGCGATTGCTTCTGTACATTGGAAACAGGTTCACCAGAAGCAGATTCAAATGTTAAATATTGTAGATAAAAGTTGAAGTAGATAAAAGTTGAAGTCAAAAATTACTGTTTGACTTCATAACAGTGTTAACTAATGAAGTCCTTTATCGCTGTGACGATAAAACAAATGCAAATTTTCGGAAATTCAAAAAGTTTTGCATGCTGAATTCAGGATTCTTGCATTTGGAATCCATTCTCTCATGGTATTTCATATAACACTATACTTCGTATGAGTTGAAAAGATTTCGGTTTTAATTATTTCCGCATTTCAGACGAATAAGTGAACCATTAAGAAGTGAGTCCAATGTTCATATCCTTGAACAAAGTTTTGCGCTTAATCCAGATACTCCGAATATGTACTTTATATAACGCTGTACTTATTTAATCACTGTCGTATTTTTAAGAATTTGAAATGAATTGAAGTGCTAAGTAGTTATTTCCCGTTTTAGCCCTCTGTGCTCCATGTTCCAAGGACCAAAAATTTTTTGTTTGAATCCATTGTGATGGGTGGGGTGTGCAGTAAGAATTCAAGAAATTCTATAATAGGTAGTTAACTGCTAACAGGAATTGATTTAGAGTTTCAAGAAATGTTTTTTTACAAATAAGTTCATCTGCAGTAGTTTATTGTACATTGAATAAGATATGTGACTAGAAAAATATCAGACAAATTAAGATGTATTTTTCTTTTTGTAAATTCCTGGTATGATTTTGTTCAAAACAAATTTGTTTTAAAGTCAGAATGCGTCAGTGTATTATAAATTCGACACAAGAATGTATATCTATATTCCGATATGTTTTATCATTTTATTTATTGTTTATTTCAATAAAAGAAGTTTTTTATAAACATTTAGTTCTTATTGTTTAAAAGTAGGAGATTTTGCTTTTCGTAAATGGTCACTGATCTCAACTACTTTAATGAATTTATTAAATAAGCTGGTAGAAAGCTGACTTAACTTTCAATAAGCTTTTTTTGAGAAATATTTTTGAAATCCCGTGCATGATCTTTATTTTGCAGCAACTTATGCGATGTTCTTGTCGAGAGACTGAAATAATTTATAATACGTCCAAATAATCAAAGTATTTATATCAATAGAAATATTTCTCAAATGATTGATCACATAAAATAAATATAAATGAATGTTGCGATGTCTAATGTAATGGTTCATGTATCAAATCCTCATCTGTGTTTCCTATTACTAAACTTATTTTCAATGGTAAACCAATTCACATGTAAGCATTTTCATTCTGATGGCCAATATTCGAGGGTTAAGCAATGACCAGCTCTTTCTCTACGCAGTTTCCTTTTCTGTTCACATTGCTTGGTAATCAATAGGATTATATTATTTACGTCTTTGTAAATTACTCTATATATAAAGGATTGCCAAGTCCTTTTCTCATTTTTGCTTCTGCTGATCCATAAACGGCAAACAGTTTTGGTCTACGAGGCATCAAACTGCTCAAATCAAAAGCTCCCACGACATTCATTTGCCAAACTTTAAGTTTCCTATGATCGAGGAAGTGCCATAGATCATATCATGATGTTCTTTCTAACGGATGAGCAAGAATGGCAAGGTTGACAAGTCATCCGAAGTTTGACACGCATGTCAAGTAACGAAGATAAATACTTTAAGTCAGTAGCGTTAGCAGAAATTCCATTCTAGAAGCATAAGGAGAAGTCTAACAATGAGTTGCTATAAAAGGTTAGGGGAAAATAACTTTCCAAGCCCACAGCATTGAATATTTGTATTTATTTAGTCAAATTATCAGTGAAATTGGAATTATACTTTGTAGGTTCTCGGCAACGTCTTGTTCACTTTTCTCTCTCTGATTAACTATACTTTGCATACTAGCATATTACCGGTACACGAAGTAATTGGCTTTTTCATTTCTTTCGTTCCTAGTTCGACATCAGTCGGTAAAAAGTTTTAGTTGAAGGAAATGTAACTCAACGTTCCGGATATTTTCCTGTTTTGTGCGCGACTTAAACTTTTGGTGCTGTCTCTTAACGAGTGCAGTCTGTGAACTATAGTGAGCAACAACAACAATATATCGTTATGCGGAGGATATTGATGTTAAATTAAAATGAGACACTTCTATTTACGATTCTTTTAAAGTTCTTCCCGATGGTCGGGTTGATAAAAGCAATGAATTGTAAAGTAGGGGTTAAAACCCTTCTGTTATAAAAGCGTGGAAGAAAAAATTCCTGTTCGAAGTAAGAACACATTGTTCTTTACAGATTTTGCATGAAGCATTTTTATTTAACGGATGCAGAAGAGACGATGAGGATGCAGAGTCACTGTTGAAGTTCCTCGTTTCAGATGATAGAAGAGAAAATTTAGAAAAATCGATTCTGTCATATTCCTTCTTATCACACTTTTGGGATGTTGTTCAACTCTGCTTCACTCGTCCAGTGATATTCTGGTGGCCCAGGTGAATAGCATGTGTTGTCTCTAAAGAAAAAACATTACATTTGCAAGGGATATACCGGAATGAGACAATCCTCGTATCGAAGACACCATCCGAAGCTTTCCTTGTCGAACTGCTTATGCCATTAAGTTTAGCTGTATGATATTTTACTGCAGCTGAACGATCCACTTATCCTCTCCGACAAGATATTTTACTTACGGGTCAATTAAGTTATCTATAACTCTCTTCCTGCTTAATTTACTAGGTCACTGTTAGAGCAAAATTGAAATATGAAAAAGAATAATTTAGAATACAACGAAAATGATAGTTGCAAATATGAATTTGAAATCAAAACATAAAAGGTTTCTTGCCTGAGAATACGATCTCCTAAGACCCAATACATCAAGTAGTAGTTGCACATTTCATCGTCACTTGTATTGCCCATCGTAAATTCCTTATCTTCCTTGTTGTTTAGTACACAGCGAGCTGCCACCTGAAAAAATACCCAACTACTACTCACATAATGAGTGAATTGTAATTTTGTTAAGCTGTAAAGAATTTTATAGTTTTTCCGTATTTTTGTTAATGAATGAAAAAGTTTTATTCCATCTTTATTTCCATGCTTACAGTTTTTTCCGTACATCCACTGATTTCTATTACTTTATTTATTCATTGAAATCAAAATTAAGAAATTTGAAAAGCAAAGACACTTTTCACAGAGCTATTAAAAAATTCCAGAAAACTAACCACATCACCTTGTCGAATTGTAATGTTCTTGTTAACCGACTGAAACATTTGCGGAAGGAGCGGACTTCGTTCGCCAATTAACTCCCATACATTCTGACCAAACTCATTCTCGCGTACTACCCATCCGCTAACCTGTGGTAATAATTAATTTTTCACCTCTACGGGAAGACAAATGCATAAATGAATATTTCGAATCCAAAAATTGAGAGAAAAGAAATTTAGTTTAAAAAAAATCCAGGAAACGTGAAATTTAGCTTCCATTATTAGTGTTATTACTGAAACAGGACAAAATTGTGCAAATCTTACGAATTAGTTAATAAATTAACCATTTCGCCATGTCGATGGGTATGTGTGCGGAATGCAAAGGGATGTATTTCAATGTCTTCATCGACTATGCATGCCGTTTCAAATGTTTCTAAATTTGAGTGAGTACATAAATATGCAATGATAAGACAAAGATGGAACTCAAATGTAGAGTTGTGGGAAATGTTCCCGGAATTTAGCAGTACTCTATCGTTTTCCTTTATATTCGAAAGGAAACGGATGACGAAATATGAAGTTTATGAATCCTGATACCTCTCTTGTTCGGAGGTAACTTTCCGCCAGTGACCATCAGCAAGGTGGATGCTCTTTTGGTCAATGGTTCGACTGTCGACTCGATACTTAAACCAGAATAATCAGGTCCGAGTTGTCCCTTATAGTGTACTTGAAGTACAAGATACTGAATATTCGTTTGTCCACCAACCTTGAACCCGACACCTGCAAATTAGTCATTTTCTGCTTCACTTCAACCAATTGCTATTGTATTTAAAAACTTTGCACCAAAGACTGTCATACTAGTTTTTCTCAAATAAAAGCCACTGTATTCTTATTTAGCTGCAAAGCCAAATATTCTTCACAAGGAATTAAGTTCTAACTAAAATTCAAAATTGTTTTTGACCACTTCCTGAATCCCTCTTATCTGATGTACATCCAAAAAGTAACTATGTTCTATCCAGGTAATCTAACCAATACATTACTGACAGTACTTTTTAGTTCAGAACTTCTCTGCACAGAAAATGCTCCCAAAAAGCATTCTAACAGATATCAAATTATTGAATTCCATAACAGATCTCCCTCAGTTTTATTGTCATTAATTCTTCGTGGAAGCTATCGTAGCTCGTTTAGCTCAGGTGAAAACATTATTGTCAAATCGTATAAGGTTATTCATATAATATCTAAATTAATTTTGTTCTACGAGTCAAATTTTTATTCAATTAATTTCCTCTCCAGTAACGTATATCTCAGTGTCAGTATGCAGTCATACCAGAATTTAACTTAATTTTTCACATAAGCAAATGGTTAAGTTTGAGTTTATGAGTTAAACCTTCCGGAAGGTGCAATTCAGGTGCGTTCCTACCCCACGCATACAGTATGCTCGGTTGATCGTTACATATTGGTGCTCGTTCAAAGTGTGGCCCAGCCACTGTCATATCTCCACAATCCCTGAAATATTGTCATATTTTATTAGGAATCCAAATTGGTCATGAAAAATGAGGTATGGTTTGTTTCGATTTGTTTCAAGGATGTATGCTGTGGCCAATAGAGTTACTATTAAAAAAACTGACCAGATGACCTGGTCACTTCCTGGCCCACTGCATCCAAACAGTAACATATGATGAGCTTTTTGCATCGTTGCAAAAGGTTTATATCCAACTGAAAATAATGTGGTTAGATTGATTTCATTTACTTTTAAAAGGCTATTTAGATAAAAGTGTATCAAAATTTTGATTAATTCAAGTTTTCCGCATAAGATTTAATACTCCATGAATTTATACATATTAAATGTACTGACCAATGTAATGTTCCGTAGTAGAATCGAGTGGCATAGCTGTACATAAGTAAGAATCATTCTGAAAAAAAAATAACTTAAATAATTCATAAATTCTCAATTGGTAGATGGTTAGCTCTAGTTATATTGCTTTGACTGTCTCTCAATATTTCTCACATTTGTACATTTTTTAGCTCTCTGTAAGCTCTAATTTCTCGTTCGGTTCCATTGATGCATCTTAACTCTTTATTTTCATTGTTCCATAGATTCACTTAAATACACAAACATTATAAAGAATCCCTGTTCAAAGATTTACTTGGAACTCTTTTATTAGTAGAAACGCCTAGTATGTTTTGCTTCTTGCTCCCTTAACAATTTTCTGACATCAAAAGAGAATCTCAATTTAATTAAAAAGTTTCTCAAGCATTTTCAAATATATTAAGTTGACCGATAAAATTACCACTGACATCTTATGAAATAAAACTTCTTGCAAAAAATGCCGTTATAGAATTCGCTTTTATATCAAGAAGTATCTTAGCAAATAAAATAAATATGAATTAAATAGTTGGGAAAAAAAATTTTTTTTAATCGATTTTTTAAAGCCAATTTTTGAAATACAAATAAGAATAACATAATAATTACAAAATGAAAAGTGATAACAATTGAAGAGTCGTTGTTCAGATTCAAAACAATACATTCAAGATGAGGTCAAGTCAAAAATACCATAGCATTTGTCGGTTACTGTATAAAACAAATTTTACTTACCATAACTGGTTCAGCTCCTGACATTCGTAGCTCGGTGACTTCATTAGCTTTCGTTATTTGATAAATATTTAATGATAATAATGAAAGAAATAAAAATGAGAGTTTCTTGCAGCCTAAGGCCAACATTTTGCTTACCACTGAATTCTTAACGATCAATATTGTGGTTGGCTAGGGAGGCGTATTTACCATAATTTCAATGGCTATTGGTGTTGCTGCTGCTGTTGCTGCTGTTGCTGGGCTTTTGACTATTGATTTGTACAGGCTGAGCCTTAATTCTGCCATATTGTTTCAAGGATTGGATGGATATGATTGATCGAGAAAGACTTTATTATTAGCGAAACTTTTATTGCATGTTTTATCACTTTGTTATTGTCCTCAATATAATACCTTGGAATGACTTTCGGGAATGATCCTTGTTGATTATGAAGTTTACATCTTTCTGGATTGCTTTTAAATTTCTATTCTATCCACCCAGAGTTGTAAAAATCACTTTACATTTTTATGCCTGAAATGAAAAATAAATTCAGAATGATTCATCAACCAATAAATAAGACAGAAATTCTCCATCTTGTATCTATCTTATGCTGTGCTTTAAAAAACATATCCAATTGCACGCCAAAATGAATAATCTAAGCAAAAGGATTGAATTAATTGCTGCAATGAGTTTCAATTTTGCTGTCTTGCAATGGTAGATTGATAAAATTTTCAAATGAATGAATGCATTTTGGATAATGACTTCAAATATTATATCAATACCAACATTCTTGAGATCTGCATATGCCTTATCAATAAATGAGTACAAATTCAAAAGTGTTTGTGAATTGTGGGAGTAAAATGGAAAGGTATGTAGCTTTGACAAAGGCCAGTAATAGAGTTGTGTAAGGTGGCCCAGTAAATGCAAGCAAATATATTTCCTTAAAAATGAAAGTAATATTACAGAATAATTGGGTATCATTTTATTGTTTCACTCATTAAAATAAAAACATTGCCATTAGATTTGATGGTATACCAACGGACGAAAGAGGAAAGTAACTTCTTGTTTGTTACATCCACATTTTCATTTTCTAATTCGCTAAGGAATTTGAATTTCATTCCCTTTTTTCTTAATTATCAGACTTTATAATTGTCTTCTCACAAAGTTTTAGTTTCAAAATTTTTTGAGTGCATTCTTGGCTAGTGCAATTATTTACAAATCATTTGCTTTCCTGTTTAATGACTATTTATGGACCAAAAGTCTCATATAATGCTATTTTTTTCAAACTCTTTGAAATTTAAAAAAAAGAGTTTTTAAAACTTTTGTAAACCAGGAATTTTTCAAAAGTTTTTTAAAGTTATAAACCTCTCAAGTAATTTTGACAACCCTCTAATGTTAGCAGTCATTATCTACCGTTGAAGTTCATTAACTATCATGAAAATTAAGAATTATCAAGGAGTAATGAATGACACTTTATTTTTCTTTCTAAAATATTCCTATCTTGAATTTCAAGAAACAATTATGACTGAATTCTCAAGTTAAGTTCACTTATAGTTCATCTGAAGCACAAATTCACATTCAGTTTCATGCAACTTTGTCATATTAGCTAGCGGTCATATTTCTCTTAAAATTTCAATTCTTTTCCTATTACTTTGTCTGTGCAAATAGTAAAAGAATAAATTTATACACAAATAGGGATTTCTCTACAAACCGTTTTGTATTCTTTTTATCTTCCCTTGTTGAATGACAGACATATCAACAATATATACTTTTGAATAAAAAATGAAGGTTCAGAGCAATGTTGTCTTTTCTCCTTTTATCTAAATCTAAATTGAAGATTTTTGCATTGTGAATTTTCAGATTTACTTTCCAATATTTCTGAATGACAAGATTTGGTACAAATCACATGTTTATGGACTTTTGTTAAATAACAATAAAAGAATATCGATGAATTAAAGGTAAGTGCAAACTAACCCATTCCTTCAGATTTCATATCAGTATTCACATAAAGAATATATACCACTAATAAAAGACATTTTCCGCTACGGCCTCATCACACAATTAAATTAATAAGACCAAACACTGATCTCTGCACCATAAATAATGAAGTGCCAGACACGTTTGCGCTTCCTGGTCACGTTGAGAACGTCATTTCTCGGCATCGAGAAATGTACGTATGTTAGCTAGTTCTAATTATTCTTGGAAAGTGTCATAGTGAAATGACCAAAATTACAACACGCCAACGTATCACGAATCCTCCATCAAATCGTTAAGTTCAAAGAATAAATGTCGTCCTCAACACATGAAAATGGTGCAATCTGACCAATTAAATTCAAGAGTTTTTGGAAATCAACACATCTTAACTGAGGTACAGCGATATGTCTTACACAAACACTTTCTGAACATTTCAACCCACGAGGCTGTGTGAGTTCGTAAATTGCATGCAACATGAATCGATACTGCACACAATTTGCAGCATCTATCAATGTTTCCAGCATGCCGTCATCTTTGGAAATCTATACAACAAAAAGACAAACTATGTTTAAGCAAAGTATCAAACCAACTTCATATCTCCAGTACTAATAAAAATCAATAATACCCAACGCTTTTTTCATTAGTAGGAACACTTCTGTGAGCCGAAGCAAGAATCTGTATTCTACAACTGAAACAACAATATGAATCACTACACTGAATATGATCAACAATATGAATCACTACACTAATACCAACTCAATCCAATTACGACAAAAAATGAAAAACGACAATAATCCATTTCTCATCAACAACATCGAGAAAGTTAAATAATATTAAAATTTCAAAAAACCAGGCCATTAGCACTTCTATAATTATGACAAAATATAAGCCACAAAAACTCATTTCACATAACACCGGAAACTTACTTACACAAATACTTCTGAACATTTCAAATCTAAATAACATTAAAGTTTTGTAGTTTTGCAGATTAGATTATTAACAATGGAGATTTCAATCATCCATAAAAACGGAGAATGTAATTGATGCCAAAACTTCTTAAGCCAATAATTCGCAACTGCCATTAACTTCTTATATATCAACTGTATTTGGTTGCATAAGTTTTTGAGCTGCTTGTGTACGCATAATAGTTGAATGGAAATGTGCGTGAACAAGTGTTTCGTCGAATTCTCGACGACCAAAAGGATTATTGCAACTTGCAGCTGTACAAGCACAGGGGAATGAAGGTCGATCTACCTGGAATACGATTGTAACAAGTAAAACAACAAAGTGTACAGACAACAGTTAGCATCACGTACTAATTCAGTGATAACTTTCTTCTTCAGTCAGTGATAACTTTTTTAAAAGTTTAATATAATATAAAGTTCGTAAAAGGAATAAAACTAACAATTATGAACAATAGGCTATTTAAAAAAAAAAAGAAAAAAAAAACATCGAGGGAAATAAAAGTCAATTCTTCCCAATTTCGTTTTAATCAATTCAATACGACCAAAACTAATAAGTCAGTATAGAAAGGGCAAATGGCAATACAGTAAAACAACAAAAACCCTTACCAAGCATTCGATACCATTTCTAGAACACTCGCAAGTCTCGGGTGAACACGGTAAGGTACCACATGAACAACCACATTGTTTTCGACTTTCTCGTATAACATTACAGATCATTTGGTCATCCTTGAAACAAATTTGGACTACTTCACCAAATTTTTAGAAAAACTTACCGAAAAATCTTGTCGAATAACTGAAAGATATTTTACTCATTTTACATATTATTTGTTCGTAACTGTTGTCCACTTGGAAAGCGATCAAATACATGAAAAAGTAGAAAGATTGAAACAGTATAAGAATTTAAAAAGAGACTGACCTTCACAAATTTTTTAAACCCTGCACGTCTCAATTTGAGTAATCTAATTCTTCGACTAAGTGGACGAAAATATTTCTTTACTATGTAAATATTATCTTTTTCGCCTTCTTCTTCTGCCTGAAATTAAAAAATTTACACATTGACAAAGAAAAAAATTACCGTTACCGATCAAATTTTCTTCCTAACGTTAAAAAACATACGTTATATTTTGTCACACATTTTGGCATATCTGTTGAAGATGTCCTTTCAGATATCTTTGACTCTTCGTTATCTTCATTTGCAGTCGCTTTTTCTTTCGATAATTTGTAGTCGTTTGTAATCGCCTTCGTTTGATCCATTGATCCATCACTAATTCTTAGCCGCTTTGTCACTACAGAGTTTTCGTCCAAAGCATTACAATACTTTCGTTTACGTCTAGCTGACACCGTGCATACTTGCTCAACCAAATTTTTTGTAGGCAATTTGTTATCTTGAGACTTAAAGAAATAAGAAAAGAAAATTTAAGACCCAAAGACCCAAGTCTGAATCAATAAAACATTAATGAGCAACAACTAATGTTAATATATAGATAAAGAACTTTTTGTACTTTAAACGGTCCTTATATCGGACACACTAAAATGACGGATCATTATCAAAAGTCTGAAAATAAATGATCAGAAGAAGTAATCTTCAATAACAAGAAAACACGACAAAAAAAAAACCTTAGTTATGTTATCATTGGCCATTTTACTGTGGAGTGCAACTTCACGTATATCAAAATGCTTCTTTTGCATTCCTACAATCAACATTTACAAAAATGAAGCAAATGGAATTAAATTCCATCAAGAAAATTATTGAAGGATATCCGCTAATAAAAATAAACATGGAGCATAAATGCGCATTATCGAGATCAAACATTGATAATTTTCAGGTGATCCAAAAAGGTTACACAAAAGTTAAAAGCAAACCAAGTGCAAAGCCACCAGACGACGGAACAACATCAAATCCCTGTGTTCTCTCGAAAAGGTAGATTTTCACATTTTCAAATCGTACTCCTTTCTTATGCCTATAAATAATCTCCTCCTCACTGCGACACAAACTTCCTTAAGATAGCGTAATGCAAGCATTGAAGATCACTGAAAACCATGCAAACTGCAGCATTTTTTTTTGAGATTTTGTAATGCCTTCAGATCATTCGGATGAAACAATCCATTCATCGTTATTTCCGCTTCACACAATCTAACGAAATTTAATATGAACTCTAAATCAGACATAATACAGAGGAAAGAAAAACCTATTTGGAATGAAACAATGTTTAACAATTACATAATTAGTAATATACTTTAGTTAATTTACACGCATTTTATTTATTACAAAAAGTACCACTTTTGCGCAGAATCTCCCTCCAAACATAACAAGTGCAAAACTTTTTGTTTCATCATGGAATTTAAAAGAATTTCACCTTCCATTATTATTTGCACTGCTATTATTTATGTCATTATCTCCGGACGTGTTGTTTGAGTTACCACTGGAATTTGAGTGACCACTGCAAAGTGAATACTGTGCATTCATTCCAATTTGTTATTTTCTTGCTGAAAAACTCAAAACCAAACAAAACAAAGAACTTGAAACCCAACAAAAAAGAATGTTAATTCCTATTCAAAACTTCTCTAAGAATATAATCTGATTCAGAAAGATTATTCGGAGGTAATTCGACACGAAAACTTCCCAAACCAACGATGCTAAAATTTTCTTGCAAACTAGCACCATCCACAATTGCGACTCGAATTAAGCCCTTCCTTATGCTCTTTGCGATGTAATAGTGACTGCTTGTCCATCAGCCGTGCTATCTTTCCGGTTTTCCTGATGCTCGGGGAGAACTTCGGTTAGCAATTCTAATAAGCTAAGGAATATATTAACGTACCGGCTGAAGAAATATTGACTTCTTCATCCTAGAATCTCTCTCCGCTCTACAAGTCCCTACCCATTTTCTAGAAGCATTAGACGGCTCACAGTCAGTCGCACGCTGCAACAGGAAATCTCGATGATATAGCGATTTACCCATCCAACTCTTGTTTACCCCCTAGATTGTTTATTTAACATTTCCTCGTATTCGGACTAAAATCTGAATCAAAACATTCATTTATCAACTATTAAAAGAATGTCAATTTATAATGAGGATGTATATAGAACTTTTACGAAATGAAATTTATCAACAAGCTCAGTGTTTTATACAACAAAACGAATTCATACATATTTATTAAATGCTTAATCAACAAGGAAAGAATACTAAAGGTTAGCATGTATCAAGTAAGTCATTCTTCTCGGAGCGAGATTGACAAAACACCGGTTTTGTATGACGTACTTTGTGGTACCTCACCACTGAACACGATCAGATCGTCAACCGATACCTAATAAAATTTAACGCCTTTAATTTTTATTATATACATATAAATATATATTTTAAGAGAGTCATGTAGTAATAAAATGGAAATATATATGGACAAAGATATATTTATTATCTAAATATATATATAAATGTGTAAATCGGAGTATCTAAATTTTTGGAAAATCGATATTCAGATAGGTACTTTCAGATATTTAAACTAAAAATAATAAAATAAAATTTCAGATATTTCAAGTACACTTTCAGATAAAGTTTAAATACGTTTGAAATATATATAATAGGACTTCATCATAAATACATGGATAGATTTCAAATTAAAAGATAAGGACATGAATATTATTTCTCTACTTGATCTCATAAATTCTCAAAGAAGAGACTAAATAATGATGAATTCCTTATTTCTTCATAAAATTATCTATGAAACGAACAGTAACAAGCCGCGCTCCCCGTTCTGTTGTCTTCCGATAGTTATATATATTGATACGTGATACGTACGTTGGAAAGTCGAACACAACAAATACTCTTGCACAACGATTAGGCAATATTGGTGTTAACCACATATGTGATGGACTGGAATTCTCAATAGATTTAATTTATGTAAAAGAAGACACTTTTATAACCTTCACGAAATATGCCACAAATTAATGTCCAAATATTCTAAGCTTTTTAAACTGCCATAAAATCGTATGATCTGATAAAATGAAAAGCGGACTTCTCGGTATCATTGAAACCATCAATCAGTTTGTCGCTTGTTCGTGGATCATCGTTAACATTCGGTAATACATTCACACTCTCCGGATATGCTGCCAAGTCTGTAAAATCGCTGTATTTTCATAAATTGTGGTAATGTAATAGCTCATGGAATAAGTGACTACTTCGGTATGATTAGAACGAAATTTCCATACTGTCATTCATGTTAGATCAAAAAAAATATCTTAGAATAAAAAAAATAGTAATGTATGAGCAAACTTTGTGGGAGAAGTTTGATAAGTTCCTCGCGATGATCGTAAAATTCGATCCCGTTTAGACCGATGTAGTATTCATCACCCCAACTGCAATGCAACCGTAACTGATATGTAACTGCAAAACATAATGTGTTCTCCAGGTAAGAGATAACATTTATGACAGAGGATGTTATTTTATGAAAGTTCAACGTTTTAGGTGATAAATGATTTAGAAAGAAAGATTAACTAACAACAATTTCGAGAATTCGAGAATATTACTGAAATGACAATTTTGAGAACGCTATTACTAACATCCGTTAATAGACTGTGTCTGTGGCCTAGATATAGGCTTATAAAGGATGCATTTGTTGAAAATGATATCTTGTACGTAATCAAAATGAATATATCCTGAAATTTCCATTAGCAAAGAGAAACTTTCAAATGCCTAAGCTTAAAGGTTTAAAGACAGTTCCAACTTAAAGGAATTTGAAACCATAATAATATAAGACGTGAAAAGAGAATAGCTAAATTATTAGAAAAAAGATAATTTAGACATTTCCAACGAATTCAAGACAGAACTTCACGCAGTCGTAGCAATAGGAAGTGTTACTTTGTCAACAAAATTATGAGAAACCTGGAGCTTTCCTTAGCAGTATGGGACCTTGAAGCAGTTTACTATTTACATATATCTGGATGCAACGTACTCCAGCATACGACATTTCCGGTGAAGCATTGTAATTCCATACGCAGATACCTAAAGGATAAAAAATTGATATTTATCTATGGAAGTCATTGGTAACTTACTCTTCCATAACTTTGTAATTCTTTTTTCATTTCAAAAAAAGACTGCAAATTCAAAATTCAGATTTTAATAAAACGCCATAATCACAGTCTGATTATTCGTTTGCATGTAGTTATAGAAGTTCCAGAGACCATGCTATGCTTATACTAATTAATACACCTGAAGCTATAATAGGTTCTGCGAACGTCACCGTTACTCGCACTGGTGGTGAATTACGTGAATACGATGAAAGCCACATATCTTCCCTGTTTCTTGTTAAATTTCTCCCATTCAATAACCTAAATTCAATCTTGTTTACTTACAAATATTAGCATTAAACAGATTATCGCAGATGCAATTCATAAATTTAGACAAACAGAAAAAATGCAATATTCGCGAATTTCAAAACTCTGATACAAAAGAGTTTTCAAGTGAAATAATTAATTTGAAATAGTGAACAATTAGTACTGATTATGTTGCGTACTTCATTCAATTACTCTCGGTATAATTGAAAATATTGGAGGATTTTCCGGAGAATTACATGCAACCATTACCATCCTTAACATTTATTTAATAAATATTTACTAACACTTATAGCAATATGATAAAAACCTGTGAGAAGTTTGTGTGGCAGTAGAAGTTGTTATACTGCAGTCTGAAGGATCCAAAACGATACCATGCGGGCCGAGAAATTGTAAACCCGTTAAGCCAATGCAATCCGGTGCACCCCAGTTTTCCAGAAGTTCTATGTGAAATACTAAAAATATATTTCTGAAGTAGGATTGTTTATAGATTTGTTTTAAAAAAGCTGTTGCCATTCTTTCATTAAATGTCATACAGTTAACAAAGAAAATTGTAGAAATTCACTCCTTCATTGCCTCAAACATGTTTACAATAGATCATGCAGTAGGACTATTTATTTAATCTTTCATACTAAAGTGCTGATTTATATATGAGAATAGATACGAGTCACATTAAGATTCGCTACTACTATTATTATTATTATTCATCTACAAGAAAACATAGTTACAGCTGGTTTTAGCAGCGATTATTAACTTCAGTCATTTCCACTTAAACAAGCATTTTCTAAATGTAAGAACTTAACTAGTTGTTATATAGTTCTCCATAAATCTGCAATACCTTTAAGTAAAAAAAGACCAATATCTTCTTGTTCTGCTTTCATCTCATCAATTTCTATTTCATCATCTTTTTCTGTAATGCAGCTATGAACAGATAGTTTCGGAATATTTTCTTCAGCGACATCAATATTTGTTGATTTTTGATCAGTGGATCGAATTGTACTTCGAACTCGAGGTCGTCGATCACCAGTAGATGGTCTGAGAGCATTTGGCGCATTTATTGTTTCTGTTCTTGACGGCGCTTCAATTATAAAAGAAATCTCTCTGCTATTCTCTGCTATCTTCATTATTTTTGAAAAAAGTAACAAATCTGATAAACAGTCAATTTAACTTTCATTAAGGTAATTACCAACCATTTGGTGATGTTATCTTCACTATACTAAAGTTATCTCAAATTCAAAATTTTTACGGATCTAATAACAAAGATTTAAAATGACTACATCCGTTCAACTGTAATGGTAATTTGAAATAATGAAGTAAAAATTCCATAAAAAATCATCCAATGTTATTAATTTAATCAAAATTATACATGTACCATTGTATCGAAGCAAAGATTTGTAGAATATTTATTTTAAACAAAACCTTCAAGGTCGTTCCCCAGTTCTTGAAGATCCAAAGCACTCCGCATTATTTCATCTCTTCGTAAACACTTGTCGTTTTCAGCGATTAGTTCCAATATGGCATCATTTGTTGTAAATAGAATCGTCTGAATCATACTGAGATTAATACAGAATCATCTCTCCTTCTAACTATATAAATGAAATCATCCGTATGCTCATCATGCATGCAATGATTTCGTCGTGTTCGACCATGTTTTTGCCTCATTCTTTATAATTTCAAAAATATTTCAATAAACGCCTACAACTATGAAATCAAATTAAAAGCAAGTTCTACACAATGTATCGTTATTAGTAAAATTCTAACGGCAAATAATATTGAAAGAATGCATGTTCCGTATCTACTGAAAATCCGGTGTTGACAATTAGACCTTTCAGAGAATGTATTAGAAATACTAACATCACCCATGGATTCTTCTTCATTTTCAAAAGTAAATGCACATGATATCTCGCCCTGAAATATTGTTACACCATCCAATTCGATCCGAAGATCATGCACACCGCATAGTGCGTGAACACGCGATTCGTTATAATTCTGTAAAATTCCTTCGTTGCTTTTTCGTAATTTTAATTTGAAAACTTAACGGTTCTTTTTGTTTGTTTGCTTGTTTTTTGCAATTATTTGCTTACTTATTTTGATTATATAAGCTGTTTATTTCGTTTAATCCAGATTAGTAAAAAATA